GTGTGTATTAACGTAGGAAGAGAAACTGAGAAATTCCAAGGTGCGTGGTAGCGTTAAGTTTACGATCAGATTCCAATTACGTACTTTGAATCGGTTCCTGTTTTTCTGACGACTATGGGTATTGGAAGTGGCATCCTGGTCTCCTTTTCGATACCTTGTCAAAATTGCTTGGCTACTGTCCTAACGCAAGGGTTAATAATATATGTAGCTGAATGACCCTTGTTCCGAATTTCTGAGAAAAAATTTCTCATGACGTGTGGGTGCGATTCTCCCCAGAATTTATATCTTAACTTCTGATATCTTTCTATTTACTTCCGAGCGTTATCTACTCAGAATGTTGAGATAAACAAGCTGCAACAATCATAATATGAAGTAAAATCAGTAAGAAAATAAAAACAATACAAGAATATGGAGAATGTCAACAGTAATATTTTTAAGCGAATCTATTTTTATGAAATAAACTTCTCCGGGTTCTAAGTCATTTGATGTTGTCGGATAAACTTACACATAGCTGATAAAGTCAGTTGTTGCCGAAACCTGCTTCAGTGTAAACTGTTTACTACCCATTGCTGTACTAATATGTAAACTATATCACAAACCCCAGCAACTCCCGACTGAAGATCTTTTGAAGTATTTTTAACTTCTTACCGGTAGTCCTTCGTGCTTTTTCCTTTTTAGCTACTTAACAAATCACTAAAATTATAATAAAACCTTTTTTTGTTGTTTACTAGAAAATTTTGTTGGTTTATTTTTTTCCCTTTACTCTTCCAAACGACGACAGAGAATGGATGACGTGAGCAGGTTTTGGGGAAACTGGATGCTTCAAGTCCTGACTTTGCACGTTGGCGGTGAATTTAGTCATTAACCCCATCATCATAAAGGAAGCGATCTGCAAAGAAGAAATGAAATTCTTGGATACGAGATAAAGCCGACGACAACTTATATTTAAATTTGAAATATAGTGTTCCCTCCCAAAAAATTAAAGGATGTAGATATGAAAACTTTGGTCAACGATGCTGAAAACATTTAGATCTTGATAATGAACAACGGTGGGAAATTCACCATAAACAATTTCTAGCCATCGGCATTTTCTTCGATTCTTGTTCTCTTGCACCTTTAAGCAACTCTTGCAAAGCCAAACGCCGATAGGGATGACGGAAGTAGGTTTTGGTGAATCTGGATTCTTCTAGTCAAGCATGTTGGGATTGAATATAATCGTCAATATCATCATCATCATAAAGGAAGCGATCACATCAGAAGATATAAAATTCTTCGATTCAGGATAAAACCGACGATGACTTTTCTTTGTTATCTGTGAATTGTAATGGGTTCTTCGTAAATATAGTAGAATGGTTTGCAACTGCATTCTCTACGGTTTAGAATTCAAAATTTTCCTTCTCTTAGACAGGTTGCCAACCAAGGCTAGTGAGCTTTTCTTCTCCGTTCATATTTAACACGTATATGGTGGAAGAGTCAGATTTGTGCTATTCTTAAAGAAAAAAGCAAAAAAGAAAAACATTGTACGTAAGTGACAAGGTATATGAAATCAGCTAACCGAATCCACCATCCACACCATACCTTAGCGAAAGTATGTCCATCTCTAAATTATAAACAAAATAAGGCTGGTTATTTGAGCAACGTTTTACTGGCCATTTGCTACTCTTCCCTACAGAGGTGTCCTGTTACACTGGCATTTCTGAAATAGTGAAATTTATCCAAATACCCAGAGATATGGCCAGGTATCAGAAGTTCATCGCCTACCATATAAATAGAATAATGTTTTTTATATGAGTGACATTGGATCACGATTTGTCTTGATTTGTAACAAAGACAATCTCTAAATGATTAAATTTACTCTATGTTTTCAGGGGCAGAATGTCATGTAATCATGTCTCATGGAAGATTTGATAATTTATAATTGATAACAGAAGCCATTGATTTATACCAACAGCTTCCCATACTTAATACTTCTCTTTTTTCACTCTCGCGTGGTCATGTGTGACGTCATGAGCAGCGGTGCAATTTTCACTTCCAGTGTCCCATATGCCCGAGTTCTTTCGTTGCTTGGAAATCTTCCATGCAAACAAAAACAGACTATCATTATTGTTTTCTCCGTGTATTGGTTAATATATTATAACGTAATTGTCATCTTTGATAATGGCTTATGTAAGCCGAAAGCTCAGATAGGATTAAAAAACATGTACCAATATGGGGATTTTCTTTAATCTTTTAATGATGATGTTATTAAGCTTATCAGACCATATGAAAAGAATTTACATAAAATAAATAGACAAAATTTGTCTATATTATTTAATGAAACATGCATCAATACACACAAACATACACCCCCACACACGCATATATATATATATATATATATATATATATATTGCTACACCTATTTCGGGTCTTGTAGACCTTTATTAGGCGAAGAATGGTTATTTCCATATGTTATTTAAAGTAATTATTTTTTATTATGTTGACTTTTTTAACCATTGTCATTTGTGCGTAGTAGTGATCCAAAATCATCTGGTGGAAGAGTGTTCCTTTGCTTAAGGGATAATAAAACCATTAGGATTGGTCAGAGAAATAGCAAGGGCTGAAGTTTATTCCTTTATGCCCTCTGAATCCTTTTAAACATTTCTCCATTCTTTTGTATTATACATATATATATATATATATATATATATATATATATATACATATAAATTCCCAAGAGAATAGAATCCAAGTAGAACTCAATGTCCAGGACAGAGAAAGAATATAAGATAAAAGGCTCAACCACTAATATTCCCTGGTTATAATTTATTACATTGGAATCGTAATTACGATCCAAATCATCAGACCTACAAAATTCAATTGAATTTGTAGGTCTACTGGTTTGGCTCCTGATTTCGATTCCAATGTAATAAATTATAATCATGGAATATTAGTGTTTGAGCCTTTTATATTACACACACACACACACACACACACAATAATAAAAGGCTAAACACTATGGAATATTAGTGTTTGAGCCTTTTTTATTAAATTATTACTCTGTCCTGGATACTAAGATTTCTCAAAAAAAAAAATAATTGTCCATAGATTTTACAAGTTAAAACAAATCCGGTGTACATATCAATGCGTATATGCAAATCTGATAACAGCTAATACAGGAAATTTGCCTATTTGCATCGGTGACTTGTTTTAGTGCTTGAGTCTAGTTAAAATCCTGATAGTGCTATCCACTCAGAAAATTGACACTGTACACTCTTTCTTGTATGATTTTTGCCATTTTTGTCTTTAGAAAATATCTATAAAATATTTACATGGAGAGAGTTGCGTTTTCTTCATGAGTATTAGAGATCGCCTCGATTCTTTTCTACAGAACCAATTTTTTAACTTCACAATTTATCTCCAAACGCTTACAAACGACATACTATAGTTCCTTGATTTCACAATTGCTGTTCAAGATTCAAAGACATTCCTAAAATTTCTCTAATATAAGCCTGAATACTTTTGCATCAATATTACAAAGAATGTTTCCGTTTTTTGTTGTTTTTTTTTTATTTAAAATTCTGAACTCATCTTATTTTGTTTTATACGATTAAGATGGGTTCTTTCTGGTTGACCGCCCTTATGCACATCGGTAAACATATGACAAATTGCATTTTGTTTTGTTTCTAATGGTAAAGCACAGATAATTTGGTTTGAAATATTTCCTACGGTTGAATGAGAGACACTAACGGTCAGATCTCCAAATGATAAAATCAAGTGGATAATGTTAAAATATCTGCTTTGAATTGTTGTGTAGCAAACGCGAAAGCCACGAGGCATGATTTTTTGCCACAATATCATTGGCTGATTCAGAAAAAGACTTGGACTATTAGAAAAGTAGAAAAAAAAACAATGTTAAAACAAGCAAAGAACACTGTTGAATTTTGAAGACTCATAGCCAAATGAGATAAACTAAATTATCAATATGCACTTTTTTTTTGCTAAGAATCTTTCATGACTGGTCTCTTCAGACAGGTCAGAATTAATCAAATTCCAGAGAGAATTATCTGAGTTGTTACTGTGAATAATAAAAATACAAAAAATACACAGATTTGACTCAGCCTTGTATATTTAAATATGAATTTGAATAGATATTAATAGTTTTGCTACTAATTAAAAATGGATGAAAATTATATTTATACGAGGGTAACTCAAAAATTATCGGAATTTTCGCCAAAATATATTTTAGGATTGTCACACAGCCTTCTGCGCATGCGTGCATATAGGTGGTGGTATTATTGCCACGTGATTAAAGTTTCAGCTGAATCGCGCCAGTTTTTTGCTGATGTTATAGTGTAAACATGGCCGCTTATTTTTTTCTCGCAATCTAAATAAACCTTCTGAATATATTTTGTCGCCGTTCCAACGTTTATTCCTAGAGCATAATATGGTTCTTCTCGTCGGAGTCCATCCTTCAAATCTAAAAATCAACAATTCGACCTTGCATGGAATACTGCTTCCATATATGGTCTGATGCCCCCGCTGTTCATCTTGATCCTCGACAAAATCCAGAGACGGATATGCAACGTGGATGGTCCTGATCTGACATCCCGTCTGCAGTAGCTATCTCACAGACGTATTATGGCTTCCCCCTGTCTTTTCTACAAGTATTTTCATGACAACTCCTCCGACGAGCTACTTTCATTGGTTCCCAATTGCATGAATTTAGGTCGGCAACACAGTCCCACCCTTTCACTGTCGAAACGACTAAATGTAGCCATTTCTTCTACACCAACAGCTTTTTATCTCGCACCTCCAGTCAGTGGAACTCCTTTTCGATCACTTGCTTCCCTGATAGCTATAATCTTCAAATATTCAAATGTAATGTCAATCGACATCTTCTTATGCCTTGACCTTTGATCTCTGTCCTTCTCTTTATCCTTTTCCCCAAACAGTTCTCGTTCTCTTGTTAATGGCACTACTGTCTTCCTTGGGAGGAATCGCTTAAATAAAAAAAAGTCATTGAAACATCGGTTCTCATTCGATCACCAAAGTTAAGTAACGTCGATTCTGGTTAGTAACTAGATGGGTGACCTCTTGGGAATATCAGCTGTTTGTTATTAAATAATAACGACAATGTCTGTTTGTTTAAATTTTGATTTAGTTTTTCTAAATTTCGAATATGTTGTTTTATGTAAGAATAAACTTTCCAAAATTATTTTATTGTATTTATATTTATTGTATCCATCCGAGTCACTCGGACTTTTCCTGTAGTCGTTAAAGTGCTCGAATGGATACGATAAAAGATCTTTGGAAACACCTTAGTAGGGACTTAGAAAAACTAAATAAATTTTGGACTGACAGACCTAGTCTGTGTTGTTTAATATAATTTAATTGTTTCACCTAAATACACCGTAAACACGCGCGCACACACACACACACATATAGATCTATATATATATGAAGAAATATAGTTTTAGGGTGTGCTATATTTATGGGATAAAGTGCTCAATATCGGAGATTGAAGGCATGTAAATATAAATATAAAAGTGAACATTGAAGTCAATACTCAGAGGCTACAGGCTGTTTCATGCTGGATGCAATCCTCAGGACGCCTGACAATTGCGTCTAGCATAAAACAGCCGGTCACCTCTATGTGTTGACTTCAATGTCCACTTTATATATATATATATATATATATATATATGTGTGTGTGTGTGTGTGTGTGTGTGTGTGTGTGTGTGTGTGTGTGTTTATGTATTGAAATTATGTTACGAAAAAACTTGGTAATCCTTATGGGTATTCCCAAAGAGGATGAAATCATGAGAGCTCAATGTAAATTCAGAGCTAATAATTTAAAGAAAAGCAGACCACTTTAAGGCTCCATTTAATTTAACAGAGAGGGTAGCGAGGAGTGGTGTGAGAGACATGGTCGAGTTTAGAGGGGGTTTATTTTTATATTTCTTTCTATCATACTTAGGACTGAGGAAGGAAGGACCAGACATTGATCTATTTAATCGGTCAACTTAACAGAAATAGTATGTTGAAAGGGAAGGGGTGAAAGAGAAGAAGAAAAAGAAAAAAGAAAGAAAGGGGAAGTAAAGAGAAAGGAGATGTATTTAGGGTTTACAGAGGAAGAAGAGGGGTGGTATATTTTTAGCAATTTAAGTAAAAAACTGATTTTAACGTTTGATAGTAATTTAAATGTTATATATATATATATATATATAACATTTAAAATAGGAAACTAAAATGATACATATGACACACTCATATCCTCTCCCACCTCACTTCCTCACTTCGTTAACTTTGCGTATACTTGATGAGGTCCGTAAAAACGTGTGAATTTCTTTTCATTTTCATTTCAGCTTTTGGAAGTAAAGTCTGATGATCCAGAACCCTGTTAAAGGGTTATGGTGAAATAGCTTATTACATGGAATCTTAACGTCGTCTGTCTTTTATTCAAACACACACACACACACACACACACACACACACATATATATATATATATATATATATATATATATATATATATATATATATATAATACATTAAAGGTTAATGGTCAGAGTTGAATCAGACCAGGAAACAGTAGTATTACAAATTGCTCAATACACGTGAAAAAAAATAAAATAAAAGTAAAAATAACCTGTAGAGCTTTTAACTTTAAATATCAGGAGGTCAGTTGAATCCGTTGCCTTACTTTCAACCTTACGGTAGACTTTACTAGATAAGCAATACGGTCTCATCATTGAATACTTGAATTGGGTAGATGCAACAATAAGTTAATTGCTAACAGTTTCTTTTCTCGCACCTCTCTCTCCAGATTTTCCAGCCCACCATTATCTTCAAGCATTTAAATACAGTTTCAATCGTTATCTACTGTCTTCTTGATTCCGCTTTTATTTTTCTTGCTCTATGATAATGTTTTGCCTTTTGCATTCTTTCACATTCAGTAACTTCTTGTGTCTTAGTGGCTTTATTGTCTTGCTTGAGATGAGGTGATTAATATATATTACAACAACGACGATGACGAGAAGGCTTACGTTTCACTTGAACGATTATAGTTCAATCTCAAACATTTAAAGGAACCTTCGTGACCACATTCCTAGTGTCAACAGACATCAGTCAAAAATACATTAGTGCTTAATAATAATAATAATAATAATAATAATAATAATAAGGAAGATATTCCGGAAGCCGTTTATATAAGAGAATTGAAACCAAAAGTAACTAAAGTCAACTACCGCAGTGTTATATAAAAATAGTAAAAAAGTAAAAATCTTTTTAAAGAAAAACATTATTGTGAGATTGTAGGTATCTACAGGGAATTCGTAGCCCAAACTAATCCATTTTTCAGCAAAGCTGGGGAATTGCAACCAATGTCTATTATAAAAAAGTTCATTCTCAAAAATATTGGCAATGTAGGACTACTTAATAAACGGAACGAGGAAATCGTTTCTCTTAAAATACTGGAAGTCGGATTAATTTAATCTTTTTTGTTATATATATTCTTTTATTAAGCTTTAGGTTCCATACTCGATTATCTCCCTTTACTCCGGCAAGAGTTACCGTATCGTATATAGACCAGCGTCTCCAGTACTAATTTTAAATTTATATATATTTATTTATTTTTATTTTTCATTTTTTTAAATGAACACTATCTTAAATTTATTTCCTGCATCTTTTGTTCTATTTTATTTTATTTTTCGTCTATGAAACAGCGTTCTTTCCATGACATCTATATATTTTTATAAAAACATAAGATATAATTTGCGCCCGATAAGCTGTAAAACCAGTCGCACTCATAAACGTAGGTATTTGTATATTTATATAAAATTAATATATATATATATATATATATATATATATATATATATATATTAAAAAAAGAAAACAGAACACTTTAAAGTTCCATTGTTATAAGTTATTTCACAAGAGATTTTATTTTTCTTTAAATTATCAGACCTCCCTTCCAAGTATGAAAAAACGAATTTAAACTTACACTTTTGAAGGGCAGCATTAAAGCTTATATAAGGTGATATAGGGGCGGTGAGAGATAGTGTGATAGACATGGTCGAAATTAGAGAGGAAGGGAGAGATAAGAATGCTTTTAAATTTATTTTTATTTTAAATACAATACTTAATATTTTCATAACTCATATATATATATATATATATATATATATATATATATATATATATATATATATAAGTTATGAAGAACTTGGTAATCCGTATGGGTGATCCCAAGGAGGATGCAATCCTGAGAACTCAATGTAAATCCAGAGCTAATATTTAAAAAAAAAACAGAGCGCTTTAAGGTACCATTATCATAATGAAAAAATGAAATGAAACGAAAAACAAATGAAATGAAACAAAAAAAAAACGTTTCATTTCATTTTTGAAAATGCTATCTGATGATCCGGCGTCCTTTAAAAGGGCCCTGGTGAAATAAATTATTATAATGGTACCTTAAAAGTGGTCTGTATTTCTTTTATATATATATATATATATATATATATATATATATATATCAGACCGATAGGCATAGATTTAAACTGTTTAAAAAATTATGGATGTCTACTAAAATCCGTTTATTTACTAGAATTTTAAATATCTATAAATTATGTTGGATAATTATACTAATCGATTAATTCTTTAGAAAGGACAATAAAATAACAAGTTAAAAGGAAGCAGAATATGGCGATTGACATTGTCTTTAAATTTTTGAAGATTGTGGCGCATGAAAGTAAGAAATCGGGAAAGAGTTCCACATTTGAAAATTGCAAGAACATAAACTATTAGAATATAATATCTATTTATTTAAATATTAAATTAATGCAATCAAGACCCTAATAGCGACAACTCATTAGAACAACTACCATTAAATTATTTATTGATAAAACAGAGGGGAAAAACATCATGGCGATGGGAAAGCGACTGAGGTTGATATGTTAGGTAAGTATTTATAACATTACAGACCCTTCTTTGGATTTTGTTGATAATATTGAGATATATTGGCGGAGCATCAGACTAGATATATCGCGAATATTCAATGCATGGACGAATGGTAAATTTATAAATATGCAAGATGGATTCTATCAAGAAAAATTGACTGGCCCGACACAATAAACTATGTTTCTAACTAGCAGACGTAGAAATGTATTCAATATAATTACTGTATTACATGTCAGAAGAGAGCAGTCGAAAAAGTGCATGAAACCGAGCATGCGCAAGAGTTGGTTTCCTGGATGTAAGCATCAGCTATGCTGATGGCAGTCGGAAAAGTGCATGAAACCGAGCAAGATTTTTTACAAGACATTCCTTGCCCCAGTTAACAATTGATTAAAGGTTATTTTCGAAAGGAGATGCTAGTTTTATTCTGTCAGACCATACTATTATGACAGGTGTAACTGATTGTATCCTCAGCAGAAATACCCAGTTGGGAACGGAAGGTCGCTGATGCAGATCAGAAATAACGTAGGTCCAAGGATAGAGCCCTGGGTAGGACCTGCATTAATGTGAAATGATCTAGAACGGTGACATTTCAAGACAACCTTCGTTACCTTATTTGATAAGAACGATTGGATTATCAAATATTCGTTCAGATAGATCATAACCTTTGAGTTCGTGGAGAAGGCCACCATAACAAACGCTGCCAAACGCCTTTGAGATATCTTAAGCCAGAGCCTGAGCACTACCGTTCTTGACAAATTCAATGATAAAAGTTAACATAACGAAATTTTTCCAGCTTTATTTCCGTTTTATATGGCGCAGAAATATCAGTCGTCTCTGGTTGTTAACAGGAGTCTTTTTGCACTTTCTATTATTCTTTAAAAAATTTTCGCCGCATACCCTGTCCGTACTATACAAAAGATTTATCGTTAGAACCGTATTTTGATTGCAATCATTTTCTTTTTTTTGTCGTTAGTGATGACAATTTACTAACATTCACTGGAAGGTATAAATCCCATAGAAATCAGCTATTCTTTGTTCTACTTCTAATAGCTAAGTACTTTATTCAGCAACGGAAAAGTCCTTTTCAATATTCCTTTGCGTCTTGTCACATCTCCCTAGCAAGTTACCTGTGCATTTTCGTGGAAAACA